AAAATAAATTAGAAAAATAAATAATTATACATATATTTATTAAAAAAAGATATTAAAAATAAAATTTTAGTAATAGTTTTTTATGTTCACTCTCTCAAAGAGAGTGAAATACACTCACATTGCCAACTAAGCATTTAGGGAGGTAATTATTACAGTTATAAACAGTTCAGGTGGGTGATAGGACTCCCATAAAGTTAAAGTGTGTAGTTGGAAATTCGGATATAGATTAGGGGGGCTTTTGACCATTTTCTCTACACACTTCAATATAGTTTGAGGTGAAAAAACATGTTAAGTGGATAAGTCATGTGTCGATACCTATTTGATGATCACAATTTTCCTTCACCTTACATCACCTCTTGCAGGCTTTTCCTTATGTTACGGCGTTTCCCTGTAGAATCAAAGGGGAGACAGAAGAAACTACAGGAAGTATGTCGCTCACTATGTATCTTTCATTATTAGTTGCTGTTCTTCTTGTTTAATGTCATCTAACTCTACATATATATTTTGGGATCTGCAGGTTGGTTATGTGACAACAATATGTTTTTCATGCTTCCTGATTAGATGCATTATGGTAAGACCACATTTCTTGTTAATAAACTATTCTTAACTGAATTATGACCATACCACAAAAAGCCTTGCAAAGGAGTCCATCCACATTGTGATGTGTGATTGACCTCTGTGGGTTCTCCTTATATGGTATTTTTATATTGTAAATATTGTTGTAAATTAGTCTTAGTTTATACTTCTAGGATTTCAACTGAAGTTTTTAAGAAGGTAATGAAACTAACTTTGTTCTATCCATCTTACTCTTATTTCTCTTATCGTTTGCATCGCAGATGTGTTTCAATGCATTTGATGAAGCTGCGGATCTTGATGTTTTGTACCATCCAATTTTAAATTTTGTATACTATCTGGTAAGTTCTAACAACACTGAACCTTTAGTGTTAACTTGCTTTTGTCTCGCACATTATTCTTTATGTTCCAGTGAAGAAGATCAACATTTGCAGTTAGTAAGTGTAAGGGACAACCTCCAAATCTTAATTTAATTGGATAAACGATTTGATTTACCAGCTTGTCGCATGCTACACCCTGTTTTCATATGTCAAAACTTCTTCCCAGGTCCTTTTTACCTAAGTAATTCCTTTGTCAGGAGCTGAGAGGTTCTTGTTTATGTCAATGGTATTTTAGTTTGCGAATCTCCAATTTAAAGCATCCTGGTCATGTTGTTTCTGCTTATGTCTTCATCAATGTTGTGTTTTTTGCTTTCCTCTATCAGAAACAACCTCTCTGCCTGCCAAGGTTGGGGTAAGGTCTGTCTATACTCTACCCTTTCCAGACCCCACTTGAGACTATATTGGGTATGTTGCTGTTTTTAAAGCATCTTGGTGAAACAATGGATGTAGGAGGGTTGAGTGTGTATTGAATTTAAAGTCATATTTGTATTCCTTGTGTCCTAGCTTAGGTGCATTTTGATGGGAATTTGACTCATGAGTGTTCGAGATTTGGACTTTTGGCCTTTGTTTACATTTTTAAGTGCTTAAAAAGAAGTTTATATGTTTTGAGGATGACCAGACTTCTGTCAACTCTTTGCAGTTGGTAGAGATTCTACCTTCTTCGCTCGTCCTTTTCATTTTGAGGAAGTTGCCTCCAAAGCGAGGGATCACACAGTACCACCCTATTCGCTGATACAACAGTGTGCATTGGATGATGGAAATCAAGCTCTGGGATCAGGGTATCAGATGAGTTGGCTTTTACGATACTCGTCTTACCTAGAAGTGTTTGAAGCAAAGACCATATAGTGAGATATTGTACGTGGAGCATGGTTCATCAGGACTCTTGGAAAAATAGTTTGTTCTCTGCAGATACTAGTTATGTCTGTAATTTGTTTGTAGTCTTGAAGCAAGAGTTGTGGAAGAAGTTGTGTTATTTCTAGTGTAATTATCTTCATATTTGTATGTTTCAGATTTCAATTGATTATTCTTTCCCCCCATCTCTTTTTTCCTTGAGTCGGAAGGTCTTTTGGAAACAATCTCTCCACCTTTGAGGTAGGGGAAATGTCAATGTACACTCTACCCTCCCCAACCCGCACTTTGTAGGACTACATTGGGTACATTTTTGTTGTATTCTTTTCCCCCATATTATGTTGTATTCTTTTCCCCCATATTTCAAGTCTTATTTCGTGGCGTGCTAGTTTGGAACACTCGTAGGATGTGCTTGGTTACACACAGAGAATCAATGTCTACGTGATACATAGCAAAGAGCAAAATAGTATGATGCATAGAACAAAGTAGATGCTATGAATTGTACCTGGAATATTACAGTGAGATTAAATTCGCAGAAGGAAGAACCGTACGAGATAGCCCACGTATGGTTCGCGAGCCTACGTCAACACTTATATAGTAGCCAAACGGGATGAGAGGATCGACCCCTTCAGAGAATTTCGAAGAAAGGCTGTTCCTTGAAGATGATTGTCTTCTCCAAAGAGATAAATTGCTAGTCATACACCTACCTCTCTTTTAATGAAGAGTACTGGTTGGTGCACTTGCATTTCAGCATTTCTAACAACCATTCTCCTTGATAACCCCTTTTACTTTTGTTAAAATGCTCAATTTCATGTTTGAAAACTTTGTACAAATTATATTTGACTATTTAAGACTTATTTGGTTGGTTTTGATTGGGACACCAGGGGTTCACAAGAAGGAAAGGCCTGCACTATCATACAGTTTGGGTGCAATCGCGCAAGACGGGCTAGACAGGTCAGTGATATTTGTCACAAGGCAGACAGGTATGCAGCACTTATGCATGAGCTAGAGGTGATCGCGCAGAGCATAACACTCACTTTGGGTTGTGACTGCGCGATCACCTCATAAGATCAAGTGCTTTGGCTGAACTCATAGTATATGCTGCACAGCTTAAACAAGTCAACAAATCAATTAATGGCACCAGTAACATGATCAAAGTTTAAATGGCAAGATCTCAATTTAGTGTAGCCAAAGGAAACAGAGAGATGTATGAAGCAAAATTAAAGAACATAGTTCAAGAATTCTAGCCCATTAAAGACTTAATCCAAAGATTTTTAAGTTAAAGAATTAACAACACCAACTACAGAAACCTCAGCTTCCAAAATGCAACAGTCTTCAATAAGAAAGCCCTTTTTAGTATCATTGAATTCACAACATGACATAAATGATGACCAGCCCCAACCCTTTGTAGCAGCTGAATACCAATTTGAACTACCTGTAACAGAACAATGTCAAATTATTCAAAAAACCAGATGTAGAAACCAACCAATTGAGGGGGAAGGTATCATGAGAACGCAGAGAGGCTGTTTACGATATATATATATACATATCATCATTTTGTCCATTGTATGTATGTGTATATTCTTGTGACTTTTTACATGTTTTCATCCCCTTCGAAATCAGAACAAACAAATCAACTCTAGAGAGTTTGATTTGGTACTGATTGAAAGTAGTTTATTAAAGAACTAAGTTCAATGTTTGATGCAAACAACAACTATTTTGTATGATCATCATTTTTTCATGCTATAGAGTTGCGATAAATGAAAACATTTTCTTTCGTATCAAACATTTAACAAACCCTGCAGGAAATTAAGGAACAAGAGAAAGTACCACTCTTCTTGTGATGTTCACCACCAATCTGGTTTTTGAGAGAAATGCCAAATTTTGCCTGGACTCTTTTTTGGCGATTAAATCCTTTAGCATCAACTGATTCAAGAAAGACGGAGATGTTCTTACCATTTTGTCTGTTGTCACCTGTAGGATATAATGAAAGTTTCCTGCATATTCCAAACACATCAAGTACTCGTAAAGTTACAGTGTTAAAGTAAGTTCAAGAGGGATTTAACGTATTTTCTCAAAGAAATAAGAACACATATGATAGACAGGGGCATGAACATATTATATATACCATTTATAACCATCAACAATAAACTCTTCAGAATAGTACACTTTTTTCTTCAATTTTGTGAACTTAGTAATCTTCCATTCATGCTTATAAAGCTTGGTGCCTTTCAATAAGGACATGCATTCACCTATTCCCTGGTTCTTGATGACATATACGTCAACTCCAACGACACATTTGTCATTAACAAGGTAACCATTAGAGGGATCTTTGAATGTTTTATGAGAGATACATTTCGAAAATCCCCATTCAGTCTTGATATTGCGAAAATGCCTCTCCATTCCTGCATCAAAACAAATTTAGTCCTAGAATTTGGCCACGAAAGATGTAAAAGTAACCATCTGTCAAGAGGAAAATAATGTCATAGAGTGAAAGAAAAGATTATACCTTTCATTACATTATAGCTGTCGTGAATTTGATCGAATATCAAGAAACTAAATGAGACATTCACCTCCCAAACAGCATGTAGGGAAGTTTTCCCAATAATGGCCAAGTATACAGATATATGGCCTGCTCCATCTCCATCTCCATCAGGATAAATGATCATTTTCCTATCACATGTTCATGAAATTTTAAACTTTTTTTCAGCCTCGTGAAGATAGAGAGGTTGTTTCTGAAGGAACCTTGGCTCAAGTAACATATACCAAGAAAATTTGAAAAAGACAATACAGAGGTAGAACAAGGCACAACAAATAATGGAGTAAGGCATATGTAACATACCATACATAGCAGAATAATAATGTGATAATCGAAGCATAAGAAACAAGAGGCAATAGCAATAATCTAAGAAGAGCGAGACAACCCTCAAATACCTTCTACTCAGTACTCTCCTATCTATAGTCATGTCCTCGATGAAGCTGCGTCATATCATGTCCTGTCCTGTCTAATCTTCGACCTAACTCTACCCCGTCTTTAAAGCAAAAATGAAATTGAAAGTGTAGTCAATAATGATGAGCAAGTACCAATTGAAGCCACTGGATTCGAACTCATTTGATTCATATTTGGAAGGACCATTTTCTGATAGCAACGAAAATGATTCAATCTTCCACAAGTAACGTCTTGGTAATGAATATGTAATATTTTCCATGTTTACTTCTGAAATGGAAATTTAAAAAAGTTTACATTTTGCATATGATGTATAAACTACTTTTAAAAAAACAGGATTTAGCGACAGACAAATTTTGTAGCTGATACTACCTCCCATGGCTCTGTTGCTGATACTACCTCCCATGTCTCTTTTGCTGATTAACTTTTATGATCACTTCTTGTTATATGTATATAAAATAAATAAGTAAAGAAACTAATAAAATATTGCATAATATTCTAACTGCCTAATTAAAAGGATTAGGGAATATTCTCATATCTAGACTATCTAATCATACCATATATAAATATTTTCATATCTATACTATCTAAATATACCATAATTAACACAATTAAACGCCTCAATTCCTGATAAAGTGTTTCAATTAGACATTTTTGTAAAAAATATTTGTGTGTGTTTTCATTAGTTTATTATGTGATTAAATTAATCATATAAAATATGACATTTTTTTAATTATACACATCAACCTCAAGTAGAAAACGTTTGGAGTTTTATGACTTATTTGAGGCGGATGAGTATAGTTAAAGGAGATGACATATTTTATGTGGTTAACTTAATTACCTAACAAACGTATAAGAACCCATACAAAAATTGAATCTAAAGTGTCTAATGGGGATACTTGATTAGGAGTTGAGGTGTTCAATTGGAACATGGCTTAGTTCGAACGTGTAAATGAAATATTCTAACATGTTTAAATGGCTGGCTATATATTAAGCCTTCCAATTTATCATGTTTGGACAATAAACATTTTCCGTAGAAAACAAGTTCCTTAAAAAATAAAGAAAATGATTTCCTTAATGGAAGTAGGAAAAACAAGTTTCATAAGTGACATACTAAGTTTATTGTCTCCTCCCCACTCATTCGTTGCTTATGTAACGACCCACATTGTGATTTGAAACTCCTTTCCCTGAGAAGACCTTTCCCGTAGCTTTATTTAAAGTTTGGGATTAAAACAAGAAAGAAAGAGAACCCTTTTAGCTACGACAATGAGTATATACCTCTTCCCTTCACTACTTACACAATGGACCACTTAGAATAAACTGAATTGAAAGTGGTAAGCATTCTGTAAACATTTCAAGTTTTCCATGCTGCTCATTCTCTTTGTATGAAAAGTAGGAGTAGAAAATGCCGTAGGTAGAACCTCCCATGTATTGTATTCGTTCGTTGGGTAAAAAAATTTAGAAGAGTAGGGAGAGGCTAAAAGAGACATTTTAAGGCCCACTAGCCATTCGGCAGGGCTGATGAGTGTGGATCCAACCGAGACCAGGTCCAACCGGGCCAGGCTAGGCTAAGAGAATTTTCCACTTGTCTGCCCCATCAACCAACCCGGTTATCACCGGGGCTGGGACAACCGGCCTACTTAAACCGAGCCGGGCCATCCCATCCCCTACCACAGTTTCTCATTTCTGAAAACTCAACCAGTATATATAATGCCAACCATAACATTAGAGGGAGCCTTGTATTATATTTAACCACACACAGCTTAAACAAGTTAATGGCACCAGTAAAATGATCAAAGTTCAAATGGCAAAATCTCAATTATGTGAGGCCAAATTAAAGAACATAGTTCAAGATTACTAGCCCATTAAAGTCTTAATCCGAAGATTAAGTTAAACAATTAACAACACCAACAACAGAAACCTCAGCTTCCACAATGCAACAGTCTTCAATAAGAAAGCCCTTTTTAGGATCATTAAATTCACAACATCCCATAAATGATGACCAGCCCCATCCGGATGCAGTAGCTGAATACCAATTTACACCACCTACAAGAGAACAATGTCAAATAACCAGATGTAGAAACCAACAAATTGAGGGAGAAGGGGGTGGGGGTGCAGGCAGTGGCGTAGCCAGGAATTTAATGAAGGGTGTCCAAACTTTTAATAGTAATTTTTTTTAAAAAAAACCGATGATTTAAATTACCAAAACAAATAATCAAGTTAAGCAATATTTAATTAAATATTGGAATATTTTTAATAGAATTACAAGTGTATAATTCAAAACTAACATAAAGAAAATAAATTACTATTGAAAACATAATTCAAATATATTATTACAATTGTACTCGACGAGGTTTCATATCCTGAAACGTTCTTATAATAGACTCATTAGAAATAGTACGAAATACTTTCTTTTCTACATAAGGCACTATACAACCGTCTAAAAACTCATCATCCATTCGATTTCGCAAGTCATTTTCAGAGTATTTAAATCAATGCTTTGTTTTTGAGAAGAATGTGACAACATCTCTAATTGATCTATCGTTGTTTCTTTATTTGGTTGACTTAGAGAAGTCGAACTTTTTTTTGGTACTCTATTATAATAATTCTTCATGTCTATTGAAACTTGAAACTAAAATATTAAGTTGGTTATTTTTGATATAAAATAAGAGAACGAGAAGAAAAAACAGAGATAGAATTATTGAGATTTTATTCTTAATAATATTGTGATATAATTTGGGTAAATGAGTCTCCTATTTATAGAGAAAGAAAACCTTATTCCATAAGGGAAAAATATTAAAATTTAAGGAAATTTTATTCCATAAAGAAAATGTATTAAAATTTAAGGAATTGAAAAAAAACCACAAGAAAAAATATTAAATTTAAGGAAATCTTATTCTACAAGGAAAAGGTATTAAAATTTAAGGAAATAATTCAATTTTAATTGAAAAAAAATAGTTAGTAGAGGAGGGAATCGAACCGGGACAAAGAGTAGGATTGCACAAGCTATTGCCAACTCCACTGCGCATCGTTTTGATATTTCAGGGGGTCCAAATTCTATATATACCAATATAAAGTCAAAATTTAGTATAATTTTTCAACGAAGGGTGTCCAATTGGACACCCTTGGAGCCTACGTGGCTCCGCCCCTGGGTGCAGGGGTTTACCCCTATCTTGAGAAGGCAGAGAGGCTGTTTACGATATATATATTCTTGTGCCTTCTTTCATGCTTTCATCCCCTTCGAAATCAGACTGCAGATAATATACTATTTATTGAGGAAAAGAAACAAGAGAAAGTACCACTCTTCTTGTGATGTTTATAACCACTAATCCGGTTTTTGACGGAAATGCTAAACTTTGCTTTGACACTTTTTTGGCGATCAAATCCTTTAGCATCAACTGATTCAAGAAAGATGGAGATATTCTGACCATTCTGTCTGCTATCACCTGTAGGATATAACAAAAGTTTCCTGCATATTCCAAACACATCAAGTACCCGTAAAGTTACAGCGTTAAAATTTAGTGGACAAGTAAGTTCAAGGCATAAATAAACTATATACCATTTATATCCCTCAACAGTAAACTCCTCAGAATAGTACGCTCTTTTCTTCAATTTTGTGAACTTGGTAATCTTCCATTCGTTCTTATAAAGCTCGATGCCTTTCAATAAGGACATACATTCACCTATTCGCTGATTCTTGATGACATAGACATCAACTCCAAAGATACATTTGTCATCAACAAGGTAACCATTAGACGGATCTTTGAATGTTTTATGACAGATACATTTCGAAAAACCCCATTCAGTCTTGATATTGCGAAAACGCCTCTCCATTCCTGCATCAAAACAAATTTAGTCCTATACTTGGGCCACAAAAGATGTCTGTCAAGAGGAAAATAATGTCTTAATACCTTTCATTACAGTAAAGTTGTCATGAATTTGATTAAATATCAAGAAGCTAAATGAGGCATTCACCTCGCAAACAGAATCCAACAAGCTTGCCCCAATAACAGCCAGGTATATAGATATATGGCCTGTTCCATCTCCATCTCCGTTAGGATGAATGATCATTTTCCTATCACATGTTCTTCAATTAGGAAATTTTGAACAATATGGAAACAAGTCTATAGCCAGAGGACTAATAACAATTCTACTCAATGAGCAACGCGTCCAGCTTTCCAGACCTCTCACCGGAAAACAAATAAGAGAAGAAAACCCACAAAACGAGAGGAAAGTAAAGTTAGTTACTTGTCTGAACCATAGCTTCATAGTTCATTATAACTTACCCTTTATTGTATTCCTTTACCAATCTATGGTACGCGTTTGGGGTGTCAAATGAGTGGCTTGAACTGAAATTGAGCTTAAAAGGGCGCTGAGTTGACAAATTGGTTCGACTAAAATCAACCCAAAAGCTACTTGGGCTGAAATGAGCTAAAAACGGACCAGGTCATGACCTGCCCAACAACATACCTAGTGTATTAATTCCCGCAAGTGGGGTTTGAGAATGGTAGAGTGCACTCAAGCCTTATCCCTACCTCGTAACAAGACAGTTCAAAAACGACAATATCGAGCTCGAACAATGCATTGCAAATAATGGAGAAAGCATAACAATGTGATAAACAAACCATTCACTACTAGAAACCAAGGAATTAACAACAGACATAATTTCGTACTAAACGGTAAAAATTCCATGCTAATCTCATTTACCTATAAATTGGTGAC